TCGACATGTTGAGGTAATCAATACATTATTGTCTACATGCTGTGAAGAAGAGTGCCTCACCAATATTTCGTTTAATAAAAATGTCTAGAAACGCCATCTGGATATTGGTTTTGCTTTTAGGCAAACCATTTACCGTTATTCAAAAATTTCTACTGTCTGTGAAAATAATTCATGTCAGGTTCCATAACCAGTTATCCTTTTGGGTCGCTGAGCCAGATGAGTCAGGCAGTATCACTAACGTTACAGATTCTGCGCCAGCGTTATAGCTTCGGCACAAAATAACCCGAATTTTCAACAGAGTGTGTCGAGTTCTGTTCCTCACTCCCCCTCGAGTTATTCGTGACCTTTCTCCGGAATCTTCAGCCGATCGATTTAGTTAGCTACTAGGAAAATACTAGCGGTTTCGTTTTCTTTTCTGAAAGCATTCGAAAGAAACCTCGAAGCCATCTCAGCTGTGACTTCTTAATCTGGAGAAGTAGCGGCTGCACCACTAGGCTTTCTCGAACTTCCTTACTTTGGAGTATGCCGAGACGACCGAGTCCAGCGATTCGTCTCAGAAAGTCCATTTTAGACGCTTATATCCGAGATTTAAGTTTCCATTCATGTCCTACAACTCATGACCGTAGGTGATCATGAGGATGAATATCGATTTGAATACAGACAGCTTAATCTATTGACACAGCGCTAATTTACTCACAGATGTTCGGTTTAGCTCACGCAAAACGCCGCTGAGTATTCCAATTCGCCACTTGATCTCTTCTTCCCACTTTCCGTCACTAGTAAGCACCACCCAGAGCTACCTGAATTTCTCTATCTGTTCCACTACTCTTCTGTTTATCTGCAGACTAAGAGAGCACCAAGTTTTTCCTTCCAGCAACGTTCTACCCCACCAGATAGTGTTGGAGGTCAGTTTTAGAACATACTAATAAAACGAGATCACTTGGAAACAGCAACCTTCTCGTCTCTGCACCTCTTACGCTGAAACAATCGCCCTGTCTGCATTTGAGAATCTGATCCATGCGTTATGCAATTTGAAGATGGGACAGAACGCACTTCTGACAGAGAACGGTGTCAACACTGAATGGCTTGGATTCAACATCATTTACTCTGACGCAACACCTGCTATCAGAAGACAGTGATTTAATGGCCCGTAACAACTAGCTATTGATCCAATATACTCACATGCATGACCACAGGCTGTTGCACGGCATCTGGTGAAAGGCTTTCTCGAGGTCAACAAAGCATGTACACAAACACTGGATTTCCGAACACTCGCGATTCCTCGCGAATCTGGCGTAGGTCTAAAATATGGTCAAAACTGATATGACCGGGCCAGAGGCTACAATTTTCTTCTTGTATCTTGGAGTCAGTTATTCCACGGCACCTCCTCTCTAACACCCTTGCGTAGACTTTACCTGGGAGGCTCAATAACGTAATGCCCCTATAATTGGAGCATTCCTTGTGGCCTCCCTTCTTGAATACGGGTACAATAACTCCCGTTCTCCAGTCCGCTAATCTCTTTTCCTTAGTCATCGCAGTTTGACAGACACGTGTTAGCCAGCACATGGCTTGTTCGCCTAATGCCTTGAGCATCTCAGGGCGGATTTCATCAATTCCAGCAGCCTTTCCATTTTTCACGCTTTTTGCAGCTTGTGTGATTTCATCTACAGAGATAGTAATATCCGATAATTGCTGCTCTACAGACGAGTCTTCATGCGGTTGTTGAAGGTTAAGGATTTCCTCAAAGTAGTCTCTCCATTGCCGAAGAATGTCATCACCCTTGGCAAGAGAGTGACTGGACCTGTCCTTCAAGACTCTCAGACTGCCCTTCTTTTCACCACAGAG